GTGTGTGTGGGTGTGAGTGTGTGTGGGTGTGAGTGTGTGTGGGTGTGAATCCTGAACCCTGGCATGGTGAGCTGTGGCTCTGAGGACTTTGTTTCTCAGGGACAGCTATTATTCACCCATAGACAAAGCTGTGCTGATTCCTGCCTGGCCCTTCTAGCTCTAAGAAGCATTCTGTCATATGAGGTTAGGCATCGTCTGAGAAGGCACAGAGTGTAGGACATCTTGGGGACCCTATTGTTTGGGGAGGAGGGTAAAACCAGACAGAAACTGAAAAGCAAAGAGGGGAACATGACGAGGGAATATGGATCTGATCATCAAATTCAGGCTGCTTAACCATGTTTCTAGGACATTTATTCCCAGATTCAGTTTCTGCTAGAAATTGCTTGGGCATGAAGGCGGTAAGGTGGCTGCGATTGCTGAGGTTTGGAGAGGCACAATTCGTTTTACTTCTGCAGTTCAAACTGTTTTTCAGAATTACTCACAAAGCTCCCTGTTGGAGTCCCGATTCCCGAGTTGCAATGGCTGCCTAAAAAATTATGTGCTGTGGGGCTTCTTGTGTGGGGTGTTCGTTTTTCTCTTTTTTCTCTCTTTCCCATGAGCTTTCTTGTTCAGGGCATGGTACTGTAGACAGAGGCTGTGACGCTGGGAAAGCAAGCCGCCCGCTCTGCGTTGTATCTGAAATATCCAGTTAGAATACATTTTAGGAAATGGCTTTTCAGCTTGACATATGAGTTCTAGTACAGAGACACCTGCTGGTCACAGCTGCTCTCCTGACATGCCTGTAACTTTTGACAACTGTTAACTTTTCTCCTTCAAAAGAGGCAATGCCAAACCCATGGATTGCTTTTTTTTTTAAATACTATAATTGTAACTTTACAGACACAGGCACTAAAAGACTAGTCAAGGCTTTCTTTAGGGCTGAAGCTGTTTGTCAGTGCAGAAGTTACCTGCTGGGTTCCTTAACAGGTAGATGTGCTGAGACCTGGTCTTCCGGTTTATCGGCAGGGTTTCCTTATGCTGTGGTCCTTCTTTCTGCAGAGTGTACTTTCCTCTGTGAAAAGCAAAGCCCCATGCAAATACGATTGGAGGATGGAATGTAAGTGAGGTTTTTAAAATTTGCAGCATCCCTTCCAACACATGAACCATTAAAAACAATATTTCAGTGTTGGGGATGAATTCAAGGTCTTGCGTTTACTAAGCACACATTTGCCCTGCTGATTTTTCAAGAGCTAACACCATGGACCACCTGAGAGACAACAAATAAATAAATACATAGGGAATGCTGGGTGGCTTTGGAATCTTCTATGTGTGTGTTCTGCCACCTGCTGGAAAGGGACCTGCCAGGAAAGCTGAGTAGCAGGGAAGAGCTGCTGTGTAGACCTGGTCCCTCTGTCCGGCTCCCACAACTGGGCAGAGGAAACCCAAATCTCAGAGTCTTAAGTGCGTGGTTTTCTATTGAGCCTCACAAGCTGGGAGCTGGCCACTGCACAGGGATTTCCCCTCTGACCTGTTGAGCCCCCTCTCCCTGCTCAGGCCCAGGCTGCCTTGGGAACTCGCCTTGTGTTGTCTTCAAGCCTCCTAACTCTGGAGGTCCAGTGTGCTGACTGATACTGCCCTAAACCACTTCCCATTGGTTTGAAATGAGAACACAGCAAAATATGCAATCCAGGTTCAATGCCTCCGTCAGTAGGTGAGGGCCAATTGACCTGTTCGGCAAAGAAATGCCCCCGTTCCTTCTGCTAAGAGTATAGGCTCTCTGCTCCTTAGTGTCAAAGTGACTTTTTGTTAAATGATGCAGATAAGAAGTGTAAAGCACTAGCCTCTGAGTCGAACCATCACCATCTTCAGAACTCGGGATAAGTTCACGTCCTTGCTAGAGTGAACCCTTACAGAGTCCTGGACGGTTGACGTGGCCTCCTGGAAAAAGGGTGCGGGAGTGCCCCTGAACCTTCTGTGTTTGGTCACGTTCCCCAGCCATGTGCACACAGTTCTGCCCTAATTGCACATGGTCTCGGAGTCTTTGGGAGGCCTGTAGTATATATGCTGGGGATGATTGGGCAGGGAGATACCCATCTGCGTGGCTATGGGGAAGCCATCGTCCACGTGGGCTGACGACTTCCCAGCGTGGCTGCTTTGGGGTCCTGCCAGTGTCCCTTTACTCAGGCTGTAAATGTAAGTCCAATAAACTTTTTGGTTCCCTGGGGTAAAATTTGGTGGAATCAAAAACCTCGGTCTGTCATTGAGACTTGTGTGTGTATAGGGTGAATAGTTATATTTCCCTCAGGGGAGGACTTTTGGTGACAAGTTAAAAATGTCCATTTTCTTGGCAAAAGAAAATGTTTTAATAACCATAAATCAGTCCCTGAACTCTTCACAAATGTTTTTTTCCGCCTATGAAATCCCAAAATTTAGGCAATCACAGGTTTTAAACCCCATGACCTCACCTTTTCTTTCATGCGACAACTTGTATAAAACGTCGGGTCAACAGTTCTCCGTTGTGACTTCCATATCTTCCCTGGCAAATTCTCCGGAGAGCTTTCCGTGATGTGACCCACATAGAAACATAAAAATAATGGTGTGGTGGAGTGAGAATAGTGTTTCTTCACTAACTGGGTCGCTGTACGATAGATGAAGTTTAGTCTGTAGTAAATGCTTGGCCTGATTTCACAGCCCTTTGGACCGTTCTCTTTCTCCGGAGTTCCGGCTGGAGTGTGACCTTCCTGGCTGGGTGTGTGTATGGGACTCCCATGGGGAAATTGTAGATTTTTGGCAGCCAAGCCTTCCAGGCAACTGGGCCAGGATGTGGATGGAGGCCCAGGTTTCCCGCCTGTAGAAATTTCTCAAACACTCAATACTTTTGAAATATTTTCACACAGGAACACAGCATTTTAATATCTATGACTAGCTGAAAAAAATGCTAGCAACTAAATGAAGAAAACTGACTTCATCCTTAAGGGACATCACTCTGAATTTCTCCCTAGGAGTTTTGCAGCCTTGTGACAATGAAGGGGAAGAGGTAGTGCTGTCCTGGCTGAGGCAGCTTTGGAAGCTGCCTTCATGTAACCAGAAGTGAACATAGCTAGTCGAGAAAACCTTAATTAAAATTTACTTTGAGAAGAATTTTATCTAAAAAGGGCGGATGGTTGTGACCTGAGTAGGTGGAGGCTGGGCAAACAGATCTGTACTGAAGCCAGAACACGTGGTGGCTTCGCTGTGAACAGATGGTCCCAAGGAACAAAGTTATCCTTTTGTATATTTATTTATTGATAGCAGCATCCTCTGAACAATTGAGAATCATCACAATCTCAGGCTAGGGGTTTCTTATGAGCACACACAGAAGTTGTGTCCTCAAGGCCACATTAAGAAGATAGAAAAGGCCCCCTGTTTTATTTCAAATCTATATCACCTGGTAAATATTTTGGACTTTTTAATGTCAAAGAAAGACATTAAACTGAAGGAAAAAAATTTAATAGAACCAAAACTTTGCAGTCAGGACTTTGATAAAGACTTGGGTATTTTCGTGCCCGCACACCCCAGGAGTATAGCTGACAGAATGAATTCAATTTAAATTCTTTTTTATTAAAGGTGATCAGGTAGGGGCTGGGGACGAGGCGCAGGGAAAGGTGCATGCCTCCAAGCCTGCCTACCTAAGTTTCATCTTCGAGATCAAAGGGTGGATGTGAGAACCAAATTCCACAAGTTGTCCTGTGGCATGTGTGATTCTCCGCAAGAAATGGAAAAATAATAATCATTTTTTTTTTTTTAAAGAGACGACGGGATAGATTGGGCCTGTTAACAAAGTCTTTCCAGGTAGTATTACCTGGAGCTCTTTCCTTTTCTTCGGTCTTCCTTGCTTTAAAGAGTTTATGGACTCTCAACATCACTCCTGTCTCAAAATCCCAGAGTGTTTCACGGTGATTGGGAATGTGGATTTCCTAGGAAAATTAGGAAGACAAATCTCAAGGTTGTGCCTTTGTGCCCTCAGGTCACAGCCTGTTGTTAGTGACTCCTGCGATTCTTTCCCTCTGGGTTTGGTTCTGTCTCTCATTTGTCCTCCAAGATGTCTGCCAGTGTCAATGGGTAGAGTCGTCCTGACTCCATTTCAGCCCTGGAAACAGTGTTGCAGGTGAGGAGCTGGTTTTCTTCTTCTTTCCTCCCTCTGTCATTGCTCTTCTGGTCAGAGGGGCACCGTAAAGGTCAGCACCTTTCTGTATGTAAATGCATCAAATGTGTCATTGTTGTATCACGTGCGTCCTTTATTCTTTGCGTTGCTCTGTTCTTTTCTTTCCAGGTAAGGAAAGAGTGGCTTACAGAGCGCCCTTAGAGTCTGCCTCTGGAATGTCTCCCACAGGCTCCCATTTCCAGTGCTTGGCCCCAGCTTGCGGTGTTATTTCCAAGGGTGTGGATCTTTTTAGGAGTTGGGACCTGGTTGGTGCTCATTGGTTCCCAGTGGTGGGCCTCTGAAGGTCATATCCACCCTGGTTCTAGTCTGGTTCTCTGCTCCTGGTCTACTGCCACGTGAACTAATGACTGCTACGTGCTTCTGTCACCTGACCTCTGCCACGCATCCTTACAGTGGTGGAATGGAACTTCTGGAGTGGTAAGTCAAAAGAAACTTTATCGCCTAAGTAGTTCCTGTCACGTGTTCTGTAGTAGCGAATAAGACACAGAGAGTTTAAAAACTTGGGGTTTACTTAGCAAGCAAGTGGAGCTGGGAGCTGATACTTTTCTGTCTTCGTGGCTTAGGTTTGAAACCCTCTAGCCTGGTGGCAGGATGCTGCAGAGAAAGGAGCTTTCCCAGGGTTTTGGACGCAGCTGCCCGCCAGCAGGTGCATTAATTACCCTCCTCCATGTCCAACCCCGAGAGAGCCAAGCTCATTTTGCGATCCCAGGAAAGAGCCCTAGAAAGGCCAGAGGGTCTTGCTCTATAACTCAGGATCATCTGCCATCTGTAAGACCCTTCTCTAAGATGCCTTGGGATCTCATGACACAGTAGACGAATATGCTTTCTATATAAATATGCGGTAAATAGGAGCTCAATAATTGTCCACTGCCTAGGTAGACAAGCAGGAAGCCTCAAAGCGAACATGCCTGCCCAGCGTGTAGGCAGACATCACGCCCGAGGCTGTGTTCTTACCACGACCTCTTCCCTTTTCTGCTGACTTGGGCAAAGTCTCAACTTTTCTTTACAAAAGATCAAAACTAAAAGTTTTTGGCTGCACTAATCAGGTTGTCACTAGGGGTTGGCTGTGTCTCAGAAAAGACAAGTGAGGCTGGCCTGGCTTGTCCTCTCTTGGCGTTCCAGGACACGCAAACTCCACAGAAGACATTTCTACCAACAGCCATCCTTCTCAGGCCTCACCGGAGAGGCGGAGGCAGGCTGGACTGAGTTCAAGGACAGCTGCAGACAGAGACTGTCTTAAAACAAATAAATAAGGAAACAAATCAGCCAACCAAATAAATGCTAACAGTACCTTCTGGCGAGCAAAGGAAGTCTTTGGGACTGCCTTCCGGACTTCCTAGTTAGTGGTTAGAAAACTATCCCTTCTCTTTTATGCCAGAGGCTTATAACACGAAATTATATATTCTAAAAAATGGGCACATTTTGGATTGGTTCTGTTTGAAGCATAGTAGCGATCCAATTTTGCTGATTATGGATTATCTGGAAGGGATGGTCTTACAGAACATGTATATTCTCGACCCTGTTTGTGAAAAAATCTCTTTAAAGGGAGATATTTGAATGTCTCTCTTTCAGAAGGAGAACAGCATTCATGCTTTCTTCTTTCTTCTCAGATGCTTAAGCTTCTGGCACATTCTCTCAATGTATAGATATCATCTCACAGGCTTTATCTAGACCACGACTTCTTTGAAAACTTCAGAAATTCAAATGTCTTGTCTACTCATCATGACAAACTATCACAGGTGCTTACGGAATTTTAGAAGGGTGGGGGATATTGTGAAAGTACATCCTGTGTCAGAAGTTATGACTTTAAGTCTCGCCAACATAACCACTCAAACAGGACATAAACAAGAAGGACACCACCAAACACACCAAACTGGAGAGGGAAAAGCCCACGGGGTCTCAACCCTATGCAGAGAACTACAGGCAACTAAGTAAAGCTGGGAGCCAGAGAGACTTTTCTCTAAACCCTATTATTTTATTTTTTATATATAATATCATCACCTTTATTGAAAATAGATTCTTTGATCATAAAATACATGCTGGTCACAGTTTCCCCTCTCTCTATTCCTCCAGTTTTCCTTCCCCTTCCCTCCCATTCAGATCCACCCCATTTCTGTCTCATTCGGAAAAATAAAGGTTTCTAAGAGGTATCAGCCAAACAGATAGATGACTCGGTGCAGACCAGTGTGGGCCCTGTGCTTGCTGCTTCCGTCTCTGAGGGGTCTTAGGAGCTGTGCTCAGTTGATCTAGAGGACTCGATTCGGTTCTCCTCTTTTCCATCCCCACTCCTCCCGTTTCCTCTTCTCCCTGAGCTTTGCAGGAGGAAGGGGTTCTCTGTCTCTCTGTCTTTCTGTCTGTCTGTCTCTCTCCCTCTCCTTCTCCCTCTCCTCTCTTTTTCTCTTCCTCCCCCTCCCCATAATGCCTGGCTGTGGGTCTCTATATTGCACCATCCCTCAGCTCTCCTAGTAACACAGGCAGTGCGATTTGGAGCACACCAACCACATGGGGCACGTTCTCAATGCCATCATCAGAGAAGCTTCCTCTTGTGGCAGATGGGAATAAAGCCAGTTATTTTAAACATCTGGCCTCAGATGTTCTTTATAAAGCTGCTTCGCCTCTTTCCTGAGAGCGGGTACCATCGCTCACGGCTAACAGGTAGAAGAGTTAAGTAGATGAGCTGTGTGTGACTCATCACCTGCTCAGCCCAGGCCCCTGGCAACACGTGGTACTTTTGATCTCTCCCTAAACTAGTAACAGCCACTGAGGAAGAATTTAAGTCTGTTGACAGATTTACAGGCAACAAATATGTAAACCAGAGGATAATCTTTTCAAGTATCAAACATCCTATCATACTGATGGGCCAGATACAGAAGAGCCCTAAACCCGAGACTTTTACTGTGTACACATTGTCTGACCAGGGGCCATGGAAGTAGTTGGTGATCTCTTGTCTATGTCTTAAACCCCAAGTTGAAGCAGGGGAATGAGGGCAACTGCACTTAACACATACATATGATACTGGGTCCCAGATGAACAGATCAGGGCTGGGGAAATGGCTTAGAGGTATGCCAAACTCCCAGCACCCACATCCACAGCACTGTGAAAACAAAAGGCACACAGGACAGGAGTGACCCAAATGTGGTTGAAATTGAGCAGGATCATGATGGGTACTCTCTGCTGGGGAATATACAGATGTTTCTGTGGGATTGGATTGACACTGGGGGCTGTACTGTAGTCATAGGCTCAACTATAGAGAAGTTTAGGTTAAGGATTATGACTGTTTTTTCTTATTACCTTTGCTAGATCTTGAAGGAGGCAGGGTTATGATTTCAATGACTCCTCAGACTATGCAAACTGTTGACAAGGTGGACTGTGTGACAGTGGTGAATACTGGTCCCTCTTATAGCTGGACATGATATAAACACACACACACACACACACACACACACACCTACTTTTAGAACTTCTTATGGCTATATATCAACAAGTATCATTACACTAACTTGATGCTCCATGAGAACTTCACAATGCAAATGGAGGGCAGGAAAAGGGGAACTCATGATCTGTATTAACGTGGTGGCAGCCTTGTTTGTCTTCTAGGAAGCTTTTCTCCAGCAGTCTTGAGGTTGCTGAGGTCACATTGTTTCTAGAACCCATGGGGTCGGTCTCAGATGAGCAATCTCTACTGTTTATTCATATAAGATAGAAAATTCCTCATATGCAAGGGTGTTGAAGAAGACACAGCGGAAACTAATTGTCTGTTGTTCATCTGTTTTGATCATCAGCCACTTGTGTTTGCTTTACAAACTGCCTGCTCTCTCCCTCTCATTCTTAACTTCAGTTCACAACACAGTCCAATTGTACCGAGAGGACGGAAGCATTCAGTAGGGATGTCCCGCAGTGACATGCTCCACTGTGACAGTTAGACTTTTGTCACCTATGGACCCTAAAACTTTCTAAATGAGGTACTGGGAATGCTCATGCAGAAACCCAGGTGCCTACAGCACAAATAAGCAAAATGTTTATCAAGAGATCTTCGCTAGGACATGCGATGGTTCATTTACTAGAGGTCCGGGATGAGGCGCAGTGGCTGGGCAGGGTGTGTAAGGTGCAGCAGTTATGGCCCGCAGGGATGTAACCTGAGCCTGGGCACCTGGAAGTCCCCTCTTGGCCGGTGACTGAAGGTTGCTGTTGGCACTGGGTACTGCCACACTGACTATGCCCAGGCGTACCAGAGTGAGAAGGGCGCGGGAGCAGCCCTTCAGGAGAAACTCTGAGAGCAGGTGGTGAAGTTCTAGGAACTCTTTGCCCTCAGCAAGCCAGGGTGCAAGCTGGACAACAGAAGAACGCGGTGGAAGGAGCCTGCCAGAAGACACCCAGCAACCGACAGCTGGGCTACCTGTACCTCTGCCTTATTCACCGGCAACAATAGCTTCCAGCCTGGTCCTGGTTATTTCCCACTGGATGCATAAGAAAACATGACTCCCAGTGGCCCCAGTTTTGTGGACACTCAGATGTCCATGGAACAACTATTGGATGAAGGTTTGGTAAACCAATTGGTGTCTCCAACTCAAACCCTCTTCAGATAAAGAAGATCTTAAATTAAACAAACCTTGCTTAAAGCGTAAACCTGCAGTTACTCATACTGAGTGCCACACGTCCCTAACTCAGGAGAAGCTGAGCCAGTACTGCTCTTCCAAAGGCATCATGGTGACTGCATACAGTGCCCTTGGCTCTCCTGACAGGCCCCGGGCCAAGCCTAAAGACCCTTCCCTCCTGGAGGAGTCCAGGATCAAGGCAATTGCATCCAAGTTCAGTAAAGCTACAGGTGCTGATCCAGTTCCTCATACAAAGGAACTTGGCGACGATCCCCAAGTCTGTGACACCAGCACGCATTGCTGAGAACTTGAAGGTCTTTGACTTCGAGCTGAGCAATGAGGATGTGACCTCTCAGCTACAATAGGAACTGGAGGGGGTGTGCCTTGACGAGCTGTGCTCATGCAAGGAGGCCCCCTTTCGCAAAGAAGTCTGAAGCCAAGGATGCCTGCTTTTCCCCATTGACTTGCGCCTGTTCGTCCCCCTTCGTCTGTCCTTGCAAATGTCATTTGGCCTGGATCCCTCTATGATGGCGGAGCCTTGCAGATCAGACAGTGAGGATCTTGTAGTTTGACACAGGCTCTGGAAGACAGTTTCAGTAGCAGAGCTGTTTCTTCCAGCCTTTTTAGGTCTATCTTCTTACTCACTGGGCAAACGTTTAATGAAAGCACCTTTTCCAACCAAGGAGAAGCAAGATGTATAGTCCAAGTAGTGCCACTAACAGTTAAGTTTTGAGTGCTTGGAACTCTAGTCCTTTGGGTTAGACTTCTCTTTGCCTCAAATAAAAACTGCTTTTGTGGGGAAAAAAAAGCCCAAGATGAGGGATTTTTAAGCAGGAAGATAAAATAGTTCTGGGATTGGTAAATAAAAGTCTTGTCCTGCTAGTCCTAGGTTATTCTCAGGCAGTTAAGGACAGAGACCAATTTCTGTCTACTGGCCATAACATTCGGTTCATTTGATTGCGTAGTGCCTATTGGATGGGGAAGCCATGAACGGAACACGGAAAACCTTTTGCCTTTATACTCTCAACTATCTATGCATTTATATGAATCTTTTTTATCTCTTGTCTTCTTTTTAGGTCTTTGACTAGATATGTTTAACCTTGACAATCACTGAAATAATTCTGGCCACTGGCTTCTGTACTGCTGTCTGGCCTCTATTGGTATAGGGCTTTATCAAAGCGTTATTAAGCTTCATGGCTGCCTCCCTACTATAGGTTCTGAAGGACTGAGCTTTAGGTGACTGACCTTCACCAGAAAATTCCTTGTGGTCTCAGAGAATTAAGCACCTTCTTGGCTCTCCTATGAATTGCAACCCCTTACCAAGCGTTCGGCAGCACATAATGTGTCTATTCTGGCATGTCCGCTCCTTTCAGCCTCTTTGTCTCTTTCTCCTTTCCTCGGCAGTACTGAAGCATGTCTTCTGGCCATAACATTTTGTCCACTTTTCTGAGCATCAGTTGTGAACTTTTCAGGCGTCAACAAGCAAGCAGGTTGGTTAAACCTTAGCAAGCTTACTAGATCCTTGTGGTCCTTGCTTGGATGTTAAATTCTGCATCTCCAAGTTATTTTACTCTTCACATGGGTCTTGTGTTCCATCCTCCTTGATCAGGCACCCTCTAAACCCAGCTGCCGAGGTCCTCCCATGGGTCCTGCTGGGACATGTGCGTGGATTTCCACAGCTCTTTGGGGTGCAATTTCATTCTTCTCCCGTCAGTGCTAACATGTTTCCACAGATTGTGCTGGAATTTATCCCTAGTTATCAGCTTGGCAGGGATCAGCGTGGGGCAACACCTAAAGGTGGCATGTCTGCCTTGTAGCATAGAAGATTCTGACTAATCTTCCTGGGTGGGGAAGAGGCTACCTCCAGGTAGACAGTGGTGGGCTACTTCTGTATGCTCACACGAGTCTGCAGATATCACAGTGACCAGGGACATTAATCCAGATGCCCCACCCGGACTCCAAGGTTTGCTAGACTAGGTCTTTTATAAAATACTTAAAAGGCTAAGTATTTAAATGCTTACTGGATGTACTGGGATGACTTAGTTAACAAAGTGCTTGCCAGGCAAATATGAGGACCCGAGTTCAGATACCTATGTAAAAGAAATAAGTGTGGATGGGGCACACCTGTGACCTTTGGGTGGTGCACACCTGTGACCCTTGGATGGTGCACACCTGTGACCCTTGGATGGTGCACACCTGTGACCCTTGGATGGTGCACATCGGTAACCCCAGCAGCAGGGAGGCAGAGATAGGGGCACCTTTGGGTTTACTGCCAGTCAGTCTAAACAATCAGTGAGATCCAGGATCAGGGGAAATCCATGTGTCAAATAAAGGCTGGCAGTAATAAAGGAAGACAAATGCTGTGACCTGTGACTTGTACACATGCATGTGCGCGCGCGCGCGCGCACACACACACACACACACATGAACAAAAATATGTGTATTGTATACACTACACTTAACACCAGTAATAAATATTTATAGGGCAAGTCCAGTGTCTCTTTTTCCACTATGGGCAATAAGAGCCTCTTTGTAAATTACCAAAAGGGCCTTTTGATTATGGTACTTTTTATTAGCATGTATTCTCAGGTGCTTTGCTATTCTGGTGAGGACAGTGTCACAGTGATGGCCAGCCACCCCCGATGCCCTTTGGGCTTGCTATCCCTTTAAAATGTTTGGGTCTAAATTGCAAAAGAATGCTCTCTAATAGGACAGGTTCCCACATCAGTGCCGGTAAAAACTTGGGCTGCTGGTCCCTACCTTGTGCCAGGGACTATTCATGACCTAAAACCACTTGGAACGGAATCTTCTTTTGCTAGATGAGTAGGTAGATGATGCAGCCTAAAAACCCCTTAGTGTCTGCTTTCTCAGAGTGTTCCGGCTGCAAGTGTGTCTGTTCAAGTTCTACGGATGGAGATAGGAGAAAGGGGAGGAAGGGCAGGCATGGAATCAATCCATCAGATGTCTGCTGATTCCTGTGGACAGGGTGTGGAAAAACACAGACTGATTGCAGCTCGGAGGAAATCTTACCTGGCAAATAGGAGAGAGTGTAGAGAGAGAGCCATTTGAAGTGCCCTTGTTCTCCTGCCGTAGTCAGGCCTCGGCTGAGAGCAGTTCAGGGAGACCACTGTCTTGGTCTGAATGCGGTATTAGAATCTGAATGTGCTATCTATTGGATACCACCAGGTAACAACACACCCCAAAGCAGGGAGGCCTGAATGGCAACCCACAGTTTGTTGTCCCTTATTAGTGGCTACATTTCCTATTACATGGCACAAAAAAAAATATCATAGGATCACAATTCATTTTTAAAGATCCCTCACTTTCAAATGGGTCAAGACAACTTGTGGCCAAACTTTAAAGTCCTCTCTAGCATTGGCTCTCATCACCTTCACTGTTAGAGACACAGGGAGAAGATGGCCAACTCCAAGCCAAGGGATGCTTTGAAAGTACCAGGAGTGAGGAGATAGGACCGAAACAGAAGGGAAGGGGGCATGGCCCTGCCAATACCTTGATTTTTAAACTTTTAACATCCAGAACGATGAGATTACAAAGTTCTGTTGCTCTAATCCCCAGCCTGTGGTGCTTTGTTACAAGAGCTCCAAGGACCATTAGAGATGCCATCTTGCTATTACCACAAGATCTTCCGTGTAAGTCCTGGATTCTTTTAATAGAGTTGTAGAAGTGATTTTCCTTAATCTCAGTCAGACTGCATTCCTTTTCACTTGTAAAGTCAGACTATTTCTGTTTTAAAAGGCAGTCTTCATAAAGGCTTCCTCCCGCCTCTGCCCAACCTGTTTCGGGTGCTCGCCTTTAGCGTCCAGGCCAGCCAGGTTCTTTCCCACATAAGAGCCTTCCCGTGAGCAGTTTGTCTCCCTGCCCTTCCCCCAGGGCCCACTGACTGATTCTCTCACACTCTCTTGGCCTCTGTTTAGCTCTTACCCTGTAAGGAAGTCCATCTTGACTTCTCTGTTTCAAATCAAAGTCACCCACCACTGTACAACTGATTCCCCCCCACCCCCCGTGGTAGATATTGGTTTCCCATTATTGGGAAAAAAATAACATTCCTATTATTCCCAGTTGTATTACTTTTTCCATAGCACTTAACACCTAACATTGGCTATGAATTATTACACTTATTTCCGATCACTTGTCTCCCTTTATTAGAACGCAGAGGGTAGGAAGGAATTTTTGTTTTCGCCTCTCTCCAAGGAGTCAAACAGTGCTTTGTTCTAGAAGGTGGTTAAAATTTGCCAGGTAAAGAAATGGACTTGCCGGGCTAGAAATCCGAATAGAATGTTAAACTCATCGCCTGGTAGTATATAGTAAGTATCTTACAAGTTAATATCTTTGTTTAAAAACTTTTTTAATAACATAATTCTTTATTGATTCTTTGGGAATTTCATATTATACACCCCAATTCTGCTCACCTCCCAGCCCCTCTGTATCCTCCCCCATCCCTACAGCATCCCCCCAACTCCCCCAAATCAGTTAAGAACAAACAAACAAACAAAAGACCACCTTACTCTTCCATCTTTCCAACACCTCTTTGTTCATCCTAGTGACATCGGGAGCTGCGCTATGTGCACCCTTTTGTTCAGGCCCCGCCCACAAATCTCCATTGCTGGGAGTCATTGGTCTGGGTCAAGGCCCCTGGCTTCGGGCACACATTGAAATTCCTCTTGGATATTCTGCTGTTGACCCGGGTCATGGGTGTCCTGTGGTTCTTGTTCCGCAGGACCAGACTCTTTACACACTCCAGCAGGTCATAGATGAGGTAGGTGTTAGGGTGAACTAATGTAACGTCCTGGATGTGGGTCTGGGTGGTAGCTGAGCCATTCGATCTGAGCCTCTGGAACTGCCTCCCTCAGGCAAGGGGCAGAGCCAGTTCTCCTAGACACGTGCCGTCAGTGCCAGCTCTCCGGTGCCCATGGTGAGGGATAGGACTGTCTCTTCTGAGTGTGTGGGGAGCTTTCCCATGGGGAGGTGGGGCCAGCTCTCCTGCTGTGGTGTCCAGTGAGGGGCAGAGCCATCTCGCAGGAACAAGCATGGTCCTATGACCCCCTGTGGCAACATGGGCCATAAACATCATCACAGACCCCAGCTGCAGGAAGAACATGGACCCAGACATGGCCACGGGCAGCAGCTCCAAGCCGGATATCACCGTGGCCTTTGGTGGCAACACAGGCCACTCTGATCAGTATGGCCCCGGTGACAGCAAGACCCTGGGCTAATTTAATATCTTGTTTGAATCTTATACCCAGAAAAGACAAATCTTTATTTCCCCAGGATAAATAAGAAAACATCTCATATCAGGTACAGGGTCAAAAGGGAATCACATTTGCTCTGTTTGTTTAAGGACACAAGGTCTCTGGGATGGAGGTAAGCAAAAGCACCCTTGAGGATTTCCTTTGAACCCTTCCCCACCTTTATGTCCCCTCCCCGGTTAGGTGGAGGTGGGGAAGGGAGGCACATGAGCAGTGACAGGGCCATGGACATTTATCTGATGCTGACAGACTTTCTTTGACATGAAGTTGGTGTATCGTATTGAGAACTGAAGCTGTACCTTCCCTGCCTTGTCTCTCACCAAAGAGTGCAGACTTCGGATGAGAAGAGGCCTCATCTGGAAAATGATGATAAGCTTTCTCCAACGCAGACATTTCTATTAATGAAAGAGCGCAGTCATGCAAGCTTCTAGTTCTAATTGTCTACGGGAAAATTTCACGGAAACTTGTAGATAAAAGAATGCTGCTGGCAAAGGAAGCCCCGACGGGTTGCAGCCAAGGTTAGTGAACACTGCGACAACACGGACAAACGAAAAATGGGTCTTTGTTCTGTTAAGTACTAGCTAGGGTTTTAATTCAAAAATTTTGTTCTGTTAAGTATTAGCTAGGGTTTTAATTCAAAATTTTTGTTCTGTTAAGTATTAGCTAAGGTTTTAATTTGAAAATTTCTATTTATGATCTATCAAAAGAAGATATTTTAAAAAGTGGATCCAGGGCCTAGAGTGGTTAAGAGAATGTACTGCTCATCCAGAGGCCCAGAGTTTGGTTCTCAGTGCCCGCATTGGGTAGTTCACAGCTGCCTGTATCCCCAGCTTCAGGGGTTCTGACGCCCTCTTCTGGCCTCCCTTGGCATTGCACACGCATGCACAAACCCAGGCTCAGACGCACAATTAAACATAAAAATAAATCTTTACAGCGGATCCGTGTTGTATTTTGTGTTGAATTAGTTTTCTTTGCTTGAATTAAAAAACTCTTCTCAGCATTCTTTGATGAAGCTTAGAAATTGTTGTGTGGTGTCTCAGGGAAGGTGTGCATTTCTGTTTTCCTACTCCTTCCCTTTTTTGTTCTTTATGTGGATAATAAGGATGACTGTTCTCTAGGTATCATGTTTTGTTTATAAACTTTCCTGAAAGTAGCCTAGAAGTAAAATGGATTTGTCAGAAGCTGGTGCAATGACTATATTTTTTATTAATAAAAATTGCTCTGCATTTTTTCTTTTTTCTTTTTTTTTAAAAAAAACTTTTATTGATTCTTTGTGGATTTCACATGATGCATTCCGATTCTATTTATCTTCCTGTCTCCTCACATCTGTGCTCTGCCCTTGCAACTCCTCCCCTCTCTAAATCAAAACTAAATTTAAAAGAAAAATAAAAAGTGCAACAAAACAAAATAAATAGAAAAGAAGAAGAATCCCTCTGCGGCATGCGGGGGCCCACTGCATCCCAGTTTACCCTTTAGTTCATCCATCTTTGCTCGTCTGTGCCCATTGCTCTGAGTCATCAGCCTGTCTCAAGGCCTCTGGTGTCTGCTCCAGCACCAATACTGGGCTCACTGGGGCTCCTCTCCCATATCCTGTGTTTCCTGTGTCATGGAGATCCTGCTGTCTTGGATCTGTAGATTCATCCCCTTCACATACTCCAACAGTTTATAGATTCAGTGGATGCTAGGGTGGACCAACTCACAGGCCTGGCTCTGGGCCTGGATGGTAGCTGGGTTGGTCAGCTGGCTAGTTTTCTCTTATGGTCACTACCCAGATGAGCTCTCCAGCACAGCCTGGCTAGCGCACACAATGTAGCCTATAGCAAGGGCTGGGGTCAGCTCTCCTACTCTCAGGTCCTCAGATCCGGTCTCACACAACCACAGCCGGGCCAGCTCTACTGTTTTGCCCAGGCAAGGTGTAGGAGGAATACAAGGGGGGAGGGGTCAACTCTTCTCTCTTGTCCTCAGAGCTGGCTAACGTAGAGAATTGGAAGCCACAGTTCCTCTCTTGAACCGAGTGGATGTAGAAGGACTCACTCACCTTGGATTAGTTATAGAAACTTTAAATTTTTAATTTTAATTTTTTAAAGAGCGTTTGTATGTCTGTGTGGTTGTTGTGGAGGCCAGAAGATAAGCCAGTCATAATAGACCAGTCCAAACTCTTTTATTATTTTATTTTTGGTTTTCCGAGACAGGATTTCTCTGTAGCTTTGGGGCCTGTCCTGGCTCTTGTAGACCAGGCTGACCTCAAACTTACAGAGATCCGCCTGCCTCTGCCTCCTGAGTGCTGAGATTAAAGGCGCGTGCCACTACTACAGCCCCTCCCTGCACTGACCAGCAGTGTCCCCTCCCTGCACTGACCAGCGCTGTCCCCCTGCACTGGCCAGCAGTGTCCCCTCCCTGCACTGACCAGCACTGTCCCCTCCCTGCACTGACCAGCAGTGTCCCCATCCATGCACTGACCAGCACTTTCCTTCTTGCCTGGACTGACCAGCTACCTCCTTTTTTGTTGTGAGGTTTTGGAGTTAAAGCTTATTCTGACACCATTTTCCTGAAAAAGCAGTTCTTGGATAGAAAAGTTTTCACTCAGTACTCTTCTTTGATGTCAAATTACTAACCAAACACACATAAAAACACATTTTCTTTCTTTACAGGGCTTATTCTTGTTGAAAACTGGCTTGTTCTTTTTTTCCTTTTTGAAGCATAATACACTTTGTTCTCATTTCAAAGGATCTCTTCTTTCTTTGAGCAACAAATGTTCAAAAATATTTTTTAAAAAAATATTAAACAGTTATCTTTACAGCTAGGCATGGTGGCAAATAATCCTTGTACCCAGGAAGATGAGACAAGAGGATTGCTAGTTTACCACTAAGCTGGTCTACGTAACAAAAGACCTTGTGTGAAGAGAAGGAGGAAGAAGGACATGCAAATATAACCATCTAGACATTCCACTCCGCAGCTTACTAGGGAGATAGGCATCAGAGAGGCAGTAATGGGACAGGTGAGGATGGAGGGCCGCTGGGGTCTCTCCTCTCTGGTGGGATGTAAAGTGTGTAGCTCCTCAAGCCTCTTAGCACAGAATTACTGGATGATACTGTTCCATGCAGGCGTGTGCTCCGGAGAGTGCGGAAACACACACATACAAAACCTTACAGGCCGTAGTATTGTCAATATCAAATCAAGACATCCAAAGGCGCTCTACACACTACATGTTTCAAACAATAAAAAGAATATTTTAACTTCAAGCTTCAAGAATTCTCAGCCAACAGAAAAATTGTTCCGTCTAGGTCCTGCCATTGCTTCTCTCCTCTGTTCCTCATAATTATTTTGGAGAAACTCTTGCATACTTATTTTATTTGTAGAGATTATCATAGTAAAAAGTAAGCTTTCCTTTAAATAAGCATAACCACAAACTACGATTATGCTTAATAGGCAACTAAATACCGAAGCTATTTTATAACTTTTATCAGAATACCCGTTTTACCTAAGATGTATAATTATTAACAGTAATTAAAACATAAAAGCCAGGCCTAACAGTGGTGCAGGTCTGTAAATCCAGACACTTGGGAGAGAGAAACATGAGGCTGTTCAGCTTATGGCTTGCTACAGAGTGTACTCTAGGCTAGCCTTGGCGACTCCAATCTCATTTCAGAAGACGACGTTAGAAATGGTTAAGGATGTAGGTCAGAGGTAGGGTGCTTACTTAGCATGCACGAGACCTAGGTTCAAGTCAAACCAAAGCAAACCCGATAACAGTCATATTCAGTGTCATCTAATATCCCACGGTCACGTGCTGTCCTAAGTGTTTGGTGTAGTCAGGGTCTAACTAAGGTTTCCTATTGAGACTGACTTTCTTAAGTTCCTCTGGTCTATGGCTCCGCCCCATCTCCCTATCCCTTTGCAGGTGGGTAGTTGTCGGCTCCTTGTGGAATGTCTCATACCTGGATTTTTGCTTACTGCATTTCCGTGGTATTAGCTATTTTTTTTTTGTGTGTGTAAGTTGTTAGGTAAATTTAGTGGCAGATCGGACTGGGAACTTCCCACGGTGCAGGGTCTTCAGGAGGTATGCGATGTCTTCTCCCTTTTAAGGATGTTGACGGCTGCTACTGATAATTTTCTAGGCCTGTTAATTTCTAAGGCATTCTAGGGGAGGGTGTCCTGTTTTCACTTCTTTCTGTATTAGTCGCAGTATTTCCAGCTGAAGGAATGCTTCTCCTTAGTTATTGTCCTCTCTCTGAGGTACAGATCCTAAAGGGAAGGTAGGCGGACGCTTGATTCCTCCCTTTGTTCAACGTAAAACTAGTCAGTAGTACCTACAAGGTGCTTGTGGTGATCAACACTTCTTTATTTGCTTGCCTGTTTGTATTTTTTTTTCCTTTCAAGACAGGGTTTCTCTGTGTAGTTCTGGCTGTCCTGAAACTCACTCTGTAGACCAGGCTGGCCTCGAACTCACAGAGTTCCCCTTGCCTCTGCCTCCTTGAGTTCTGGAATTGAAGGCATGTGCCAGCATCACCTGGGCTTGTCTGTATTTTTTAGTATTTTTGTACCTCAGGCTAGACTAGAATTCACTCTGTAGCTCAGGCTGACCTTGAACTCACTGCTTCCCAGGTCTGGGGTGATTACCACATCCAGCCAACCAATGCTTTCTTGTGAGATTGTTGTGAATTCACATGTCTAAACAAATCTAATATATTCTAACCCACTGCAACCATTGCAGATACAAGCATTACCAGGCTCTCTGTTTTCCTTATTTGGTCTATTGGAATGCTCAGGCTGGCTTCTGGGTTCTATGTGTACAGCCCTATAGGTCTTGACAACTTTTTTCTTCGTAGCAGGCTCACCACATCTCCAGAAAGCCTGGAATAATTTAGAAGCCCTGGTACCTGGGCACTATTGGTGCTTATTGCTTTCATTCGACCATGATTTCATTTGACCATATTTGACATATACAGGAAGAATTTTAATGTAAAAATGCAATACGAGTTCATGGTGATGCTTTTGGCTTAAAAAGATGAGTGTTATTTAATGTGATGGATCTTTAAAAATTAAAAAATAATTTCATTCTATGTGCATGAGTTTTTTGCCTGCATGCATTTCTGTGTACCATGTGTGTGTCTGCTGTCTCAGCAGGGCTGGAAGAAGACATAAGATCCCCTGGGACTGGAGTTATAGTCAGTGTGAGCTGCCATGTGGGTATCAGGAACTGAACCCAGACTCTCTGGAAGTGTTCAAATTGCTTAGCTGTCTATCCAGCTCTTAAATGATCTTACATTCTCCTCTCCTTTCTTCAGCCTTGAAATCTGTTCTTAACCTCAAAATGATCGCTCCTTTCCCCCACTGCACAGAGGAATCACAGTGATTGGTTACTGACACGACTAATGTGGCCAGCTTTAAAAGTGTTCAATTGTTTGTAGTTCCTTTCTGAACAGGTTTATTTATTTTATTTGGTGTGTATGAGTGCTTGGCTGCCTGTGTGCCATGTGGGTGCCTGGCACCCACAGAGGCTGGAAGTCATTGGGAC